GAGCCATGCCCTTCTTGAATCCTCAAGTGGTCCTTTTATTTGTCACCTACCAGAGTCCCAGTTCTGGAGGCACTGAGCTGCATCTTTCCTGAGTCAGTGTCAGGCATCTCAGCTTAGTGCTACAAGAGAAAAGCATGTCAGCACAAAGATCTGTGCCTCTGTAAATTAGTGGTCTCAAAGCCTGAATCATGCCTAGTTGGCTTTTCTTCTCATTTTCTTTAGTGGTTCTCTTGGCCACAGCCCTTTCACCTATTACAAAGAATGTTCCCAATCCCTGCAACACTATCTGTCTCTTTGCTTGTAGCAGAGGACCTTGTTTCTGACCTGGCAGAATACAGAAGCCTAAGAGAACAACACCCTGACATCCCAAGTCTACTTTACAACACCCTTTCCTCCTCCTTTCCTGTCCCAAGGGCAGAGCTCCTGATTGCCTTTCTCAGTAACCACACCCACCTGTAGGACTGACAGCTTATTCACAGCACATATGTACTCTCATTGGCACCTGTCACCTAGGGAGAACCAGGATTATTTTTGAGTCTGTATTCTGGTGAGGAAACTGAGGATTAGAAAGGTTAAGAAACTCTTCCATGGTTGTGCAGAAGTCAGGATTCAATCTGTAGTAAAGCCCTTACCCTGAGCCCTATTCTACCATCTTCTGCCTTCTCAAAGCCCTTTGTCCATCAGAGATTCTCAGCCTATTCCTATTTTTTTTCTACCCTGTCCCTTTCTCCTAGCTTGTTTATCCCAGGGTCAGATAAGCATGTGTGTCTTTCATCTGTTAAAAAGAATACCAACCTTGCAAATTTACCACCTCCCTCCCTTCACAACTAAAACCACTGAGGAAGGTCTCTGCCATATTGTACTCACAGTCTGCGCCTTCCTCCTGTCCTTAGCTTACTGCCAGCGGTCACTCCATGTGATCACCATGTTCTAAATTCAGGGGGTGCTCCTTGGCCCTATCTTACTTAACATTCCTGAATCACTTGGTACCACTGACTTATTGTTGAAACCTCCTCTTCACTCTGCTTGCATGTGCCTCCCTTTTCCTGCCCTTCTATCTCTCTGACTGCTCATCTCATCCTCATTTGAAGGCTCATTAATTTCCACCAGTGTCTGCAGTACTTGTGGTCTTTAAGACTTACTCTGTCCACCTGTCCTGGATAACCTCATTGCCTCCTGTGGCTTCAACTGCTGGAAATCCCAAATCTGAATCTCCAGCCTTAATAAGGTCTTGAATGCCAGATCATTGTCAATTTTCCTCTTCCTGCTGAACATCACAGTTGGGATGACCCTTTGGAATCATTGTATTGAATGCATGTGAAACAGAGCTTACCTTCCAGAAGACAGGATAGGGTCAGTATGGGAACTAAATGCAGAGTACTCTGAGCAGTGCCAGATGTGGAGTGAGTTGGTCAGTAGCAGTGGATATTAACCCTACCTGCTCTCTACCACCTTAGTACATGCACTTGACAGCTATTGCTAGTTCCCTTCCTCCACTGCCATCTTCCTCAACTCTCCTTATCTCACTGGGCCGTAACATTGAGAGTGGCCCTCAACCTAACAGTGACATGTGACACCCAGTGTAAGCAGGTGCCATACAGAAATTTTACATGTGTTTATCTCACCTGATCCTGGCTATAACACTGTGAGGTAGGACTTGTTCTTTAACTTCCATAAAAATGAAGTGTCCAAGGTTAGCTACTTGATACAAAGTCTCACATCCACGCGAATTTGTGTTCAGACCTGCTGGGTTCTGGGCAGTTATAGTCCATCTTTCCATCCTTTGTCTAACCTGGCCAAAAATCTGAGCCTTATCCATCATTCTTCCTTTCTTGTCTTCACCCCTATCAAAGTCTAACCAGGGCTGAGGATATAGCTCAGTGGTGCCAGCGCCTGCCTCACAAGCACAAGGTCCTGAGTTCAATCTTCAGTACTTAACTGGTTAGAGGTTTTTTTTTTTTTTAATCAAAGTTTGGCAACATAATCTCCTAAATATCAGAAAAGGCTTCATTTCTTTACCCTGGTTGTCTTGGGTCCTGCCTCCACCAACTCTTATTTAAGATACTAAAATGGCTTCCTAATTTGTATCCTGGATTGCTCCCCTCACATCTATTCTCTACAAAATCCCCTATGTATGTGCTCTTCAGCAATGCTGTCCAACATACACCACCATCTTTAGGCTCAAGTTCAAAATATTAACTTCCGAGGCCCTTACTATTTGGTTTCTGTTGTCCTCTTGAGCTTTATGTCTGACTCATCACAATCAAGAATCTGGTTTTATTGGGATTTATTGAGTTCCTGTATCATGCAAGAGAAAGAATGCCACAGGTAGGACCTAGAAACAGAAACCTTCCACATTCTGAGATTGGTACCCCTCTCTGAGTGTGGCGTACTGTCTGTCACAGACTAGGACAAGAACCACATCTTCCTTAAAAACTGCTGTATCCTTTCATATAGCTCATTGCCTCACTTCTCTACTCAGTGAAAAAAGTAAAGAGTTCAGTTAAATGTCATGGGAGGTACAGATTTTATGACCTCCTTGATGCCACGAAGCTCCCTAACAATTGCAGTGGTCAGCAATGTCGATTTTAGCACCAAACTTGGACTCAAGTCCTCCCTCTGCTACTCACATACTCTAAGCCTCAGTTTCATGCTTTGTAAATTGAGGATGATGAGTGTGGCCACCTCCCAGGATTGGGAGACCAAAGGGAAAGTAGTACATGCCCAGTGTCAAGCACAGAACCTGACATAAATAAGAACTATCCAGTAAACAAACCTCAGATGACAGGTTTTCATCCAGATTCCCAACTCTCGGTATGCTATTTGCACTATAGCCATGTACATGTGACAGTGTCAAAGCAGCATCTGCTGATGGCTATATTGGGCTATTGTTCACAGAGCAAAAATTGAGAATAAAGACAATTCTTTTTTTTTTTGTACCAGGGATTGAACTCGGGACCTTGTGCTTGTGAGGCAGGCAATGGAACCACTGAGCTAAATCCCCGGCCCCTGAAAAAGCTTTTTGTATTGTATTGACATGACTGATTTCGCATGGATGGCAATGTCTATAATAAGGTGCAGGTTATTTTCATTTGACAGTAGGGTAAATGCAACTCTAAACAACAAATTTCAAATAAGGATTTAGCACTTATTTTTTTTTTCTTTTCGACTGCAGGTCTTTATTCAGTCTGTGAAGACCAGTTTAAAATGAAATGTTAGTACACTCAGAACATCAGCTTTTCATTTGACATTTTGTCATTTCAGAAATCAGAAAAGTCATTACAATATTTGCACAGTGTAACCACTAGTTGCTAAATAAAAGCTAATTTCTAAAAAACCATAAACTTAATGTTGTTTTATTTAGAGTTTAAAAATTCTCTCAGTTAACAGGATGTGTGTGTGTGTGTGTGTGTAAGTTTGTGTGTATATATATGCAGAGAACCCCAAAAACAAAAACAAGAAAAGTCAAAGTAGTTAAATATTTTGACCTGACAGCTTCTACAAATACTAACTTCTGCTATAAAGGAAACCATTATTTGTGGTAAAAATCCTAGACAGGCAAGACAGCGTGCTCTTGATGTGCTCTTGGGTAGCCGGCGTCAGGACGCAAGGGCCAATGCCCCAAAGCTGTGTGCTACAACACCTGCGTCCCCCAGACCCCTAAGGGGCGGCTTCTTCACAGAAGTCACTGCAGAACCTGTGGGGCAGTGGCCCACGGAGTGGCTAGGTCAGCGCTGACACTACAGGGAAGCAGCAGCAAGCTCTTCAGAGGTGCCAGTGTGCATGCGAGCAAGCGCCGCGTTCAGGTCTCTGAGCCATCTCAGTGTAATTCAACTTACAAAAGAAAATGGACAATTTCTGGTGATCACATCTTAAAAAAACAGGACTGGTGTCAGAAAAATGAAACTCCAAAAGTGTAGCACTTTTATTTTATATAATGAACTTAAGCACTGCTTACAAAATCAGTCAGTAGGGGGTACTTTGGAGATCAGATGTTGTGTGTTCTAAACTTGACTCTACCAAATTTTATCTCAGTGACCTTGGACAAGTTGTTTGAAATATCCAAGCTTTAGGTTTCTCATTTGTAAAATGGAGATATAATCTGCTACCTTAAGAATTTGCAAGTGGATTTAAAAGGAAGATAAGATGTGTAAATTAGCACAGCACTTGCCAAGTCATAGACTGGTGGTGACGAACCTTGTAGAGCTTTCAATGACACAAACAACCCACTGTGGCACATGTGCCATAGGTTCGCCACCACTGTCATAGATGCTCTACTTTGCTTATAAAAGCCACCAGGCATCTTATTCTCACTGTCAGCCCAAGTGAAAGTGAAAAGAGATCCTGTTAAGGTATTTGTTAATCATTATAAAAGTAACTCCTTTACCAATTTGAATTTACACTTTATCCAAGGAAAACAAATGTGGTGGATTTTCCCGTAGTTCAGCTTTTCAGCTGTGTCTTCTATTTATGGAAACAGGACAACAGGAAAATGTATAAGCTTAAAAATTATGGTTCATGCCATTTAACAGGAATAGTGCAGCCTTGCAATAATCAAATCCAGTGTTTGGCAAGTCAGCTTGTGTTAACAGTATTTTAACTAATTAAGATTACCAACAATCTGCCTCTTTTTATTTTGTTACCATTGTATAAATCTGTTCACAATCTCAATATCTCAGGAAGTGCTATGTCACCTAGTTACTAATTACAGGAGCATCTTGATGAACGTATAAGCAGCATAACTACCTATATGCTGTTCATGATTATTACTGGTAATCAGTTACTACTGGTACTGTGATTATTATGAGAAATGTATAAAACATAACAGAGCTAACTTTTTGAAGTGCTTGCTTCATGAAATGTGATATTTAGAAAAAGACCTTTCAATTTGTGCATGGCTGTTGTCTTTTAAATGCCTTACTGCTTTTCTCCTGATGTTTCCTCCCATTAAATTATTTTCTTAATTGATGTCTGTGCTCTCTCTTTCTACCTCCTGGCAGTCTTTTCCCTGTAAAAGGACCCATCTGTCTAAGGTAGAGATTCTGCATTTTTATATACTCATAAGTGACTAAGCTGCATGGAATAGATATGCTTATTATCTAGAAGTTGTGTGTAACTCTGCTTTTTCAAGATATAGTAACATTTTATTTTTCTTCAAGTCAAATTTATCCTTTTCAGTCTGAGTTCAAGCATCCAGAAGTATGTCTAATTTTTAATCATAGTCATAGAGCAAAGACTGCATATTAAACTTGCTAATCCATGGTAACTAAAAACAATAGTTTAGAAACCAATGCTGTCTGGAATGTATGATTTTGTATACAGAGTGAGAGATAAAAGCTCATTCAAAAAAGTGACTTATTTTCATTTCATTTTATTAGACTTGAATTTGAGCGACAACAGCGTGAAGAACTTGAAAAATTAGAAAGTAAGAGGTAAGGTGTGCAAAGCTAAAGGTCTGTGAGTCCCCTAGTGAATAACCTACCTCCTCCTCCCCTGAATCTGTTTCAGGGCCTCTCTTTCCAACTACTGTATTTACCTGTCTGCTATGCTAGTAACTTCTTTTTAACTGGTTGAGTTTACTTAAATTTCTTCAACAGTTTATCTTCAAATACTTGTAAGAATGGGGGAATAGAGTCAGTGATACACCACTTTAATACATCACATCAGTGATACACCACTTTAATGCATCATATATGTATTTGTTTGAATTTAACTCAAAAGCCTTTCTTAATATTCCTTGAGCTTTTTAAAAATTTTATTTTATTTTATTATTATTATTATTTTTTGTACCTGGGATCAAGCTCAGGACCTTGTGCTTGCAAGGCAGGTGTGGCACCACTGAGCTAAATCCCTGGCCTGCTTGAGCTTTTTTTAAGACAAAAAGAATAAACTGAAGGTTTTATGCAAAATCAAAAGAATTTCTTTTTCTTATTAACTGACCCTCCATTTTTTAAACACTTTCCCATATTGTTGTTGTTCCATCTATAACTCACTCTTCATATTTTTTGCTCATTTATCCTTTAGGGTGCGCATGAGTGTCTGGTCTGGCTGTTAGTTTACCTTGGAGAGGTCTTTGTTCTAAAATCCTCTTTGCTTAATAAAACTGTATTTTCTCCTTTTCTTTATTCTCTCCTATTTAACAAGCTACGAAGTAGATCAAATGTAGGTATTGGAGTAGAAAGTAAGGCATAGAGATCTTCAAACTGGACTCTTACTTTGTAGAATCTGAAGCATAAATGTCACAAATGAATCTATTTAGTTTCTGTATCATACAGGACAGATGTTTGGTGGTCAGGAGATGGAGGCCATCCATACTTATCCTCATACTTATACCTCATGCTCCATATTGTTACTCTAGGGGCCATTCTAACCCCCAAAATCTGATTTAGCACCCCGGAGTTGTTTGAACCTGGAAAGAAAATCTAGCCTATCATTCCCAGAATCATGCATTTGAATATTCTAATGAGAATTCCAGTTATTTTCAGTGTTATGCATCCATCCATAAAGTAATCTTTTGGGCCATTTGGTGATCAAGTGCTTAGTAGCATGTAGTTAGTTGAGCTGAATCAATGAATTGTCAGTTATCTTGACTTTGACATTTGACCCCACTGAGTTGAAGACCGCATAGCATTTTTATTTAATGTCATCTTGTCAGTGAACTTCCTGTTGAGATTTACTCTTTGGGGTGAATAAAATTATTCACATTGAATTTAAGTTTAAATTGGACATGGTTCTTTCTCTTTGAACTCAGGGTTTTTTTTTTAATTATATCATGCATGACACATTATGATTGTAGGCTCCACAAAAAAATGATATCAGAGGCTACTTCAGGAGAGTAGCCAAATCATACATTGGACAGTTAGAGTAAAAAGGTAGAAGAGCACATTGCTGAAAACTGGAAGGGAAGGCCCTTATTGTGTTATTTTAATGGAGGGTTTGTCTTTATGTTGCATATGCATTTTCAGAACGGTCCAGTTAGGTAAAAATTAAAGCACCATTTGAGTGTAGCAAGCCAGTAATAGGTCAGCCATTGCATTGCAGGAAGCTGATAGAAGAGATGGAGGAAAAGCAGAAGTCGGACAAGGCAGCGCTGGAGCGCATGCAGCAGGAGGTGGAGACGCAGCGCAAGGAGACAGAAATTGTTAAGCGTGAGATTCGCAAGCAGGAGGAGAGCCTCAAACGCCGCAGCTTCCACATTGAGAACAAGCTCAAGGACCTGCTTGCCGAGAAGGAAAAGTTTGAGGAGGAGAGGCTGCGTGAGCAGCAGGAGATCGAGCTGCAAAAGAAGAGACAGGAGGAAGAGAGCTTTCTCCATTGGCTCCAGGAATTCAGCAGCAGTGAGCAGCCTGAGAAGATGGAGATATTCCAGGAGCTGGACCGGCTGCAGCGGGAAAAAGATGAGCAGCACACCAAGCTGGCTCTGGAGAAGCAGAGGCTGGAGGAGCAGGAGCAGGAGCAGGTGCTGCTGTTGGCACAGCTTGAGGAGCAGCTTCAGGAGAGGCAGGAGATGGCCCCGCTGCTGTATGGCGAGGTTCTGAGGTCAGAGGAGGAAAAGCAGGAGCTTGAGGTCATCCGGGCTGTCCTCCTGCAGGCCAGGAAGGCCCTGGCTACAGGGGACACTGGCAGCCAGGGGCTGGACAGGGCCCAGCTGCATTTCCTAGAGTTCAAAAGAAAGCAGCTCATCCAGCTGGCCACCTCGGAACAAGAACTGGTCCAGCAAAAAGACCTCCTGAGTAAAGAAGTCCAGGAAGATCAGGAAGCCCTGCAGCACTTACAGTGTGAAAAGGATATGGACTGTAGGTTGTCGGCAAAAAATGATGGCCCAAGTATTTCCAGAGTGGCTCACGATTTAGAGAAAATAAAGGCAGCAGAATGCAGGCTGCGGTATAAAGAATGTCAGCTACAGGACCTCCTGCAAAATCACCTGCCAGCCCTGTTGGAAAAAAAGCAGAGAGCACTTGAAGTCCTTGACCAGGGCCCTCTCAGCTTGAACAACACTCTGTATCAAGTGGAAAAAGAAATGGAAGAAAAGGAAGAGCGACTTGCTCAGCACCAAGCCAGTGCCCGCCAGCTGCAGCAGCTCCAGGCCACCTTCGAATTCACCACCAATATCGCGAGACAAGAAGAGAAAGTGAGGAGAAAAGAGAAGGAGATTCTGGAGTCTCAGGAGAAGCAACAGAGAGAGGCACTGGAGCAGGCAGTGGCTAAGCTGTGGCACAGACAGTTGGCCCTGCAACAGCACTCCACCCTGGGCCTAGAGGGTGAGAAAGAGAGGCAGAAGCCAGCAGAGCAGAGCAGCAGCAGTGAGCAATTGGAGCTCCTGGCTGGCCTGGAAGCTGAGCAGGAGAACCTGGAGAAGGACCAGGACAGGTGAGACCCAGGAAGGTAGATCACAGTGTACAGTGGGTGCCAAGCATTATTCCTTTCCACCCCTCATGGGATGTATCTCACCATCTTTTCAAGAAAGCAGTTCTGGCTTTTCTATTCTCTAGTATATAGGCAAATGGTTACATTATTAAACCTGAGAAAAGTGTTACCTAAACATTTTTTTATTTCTCCATAGGATCCTTCTCTTAGAATCGGCAGCCTAACAAAAACTGCATACACAAAGCCCTTGTCCTTCACTCCACTGACCTGTGGAATGCATAGTGGGTTGATAAATGCAGAAGACTGACAAAACATCAGCCTGGGTTCCCCTTCCTTTCTTTCCCTCCACCACTCATTCTCTGTCTCTTTCATCCTCCTTCCTTTCCCGTCCCCTCCTCGCATCTCCTTACATTCCCCACTACTTTCTATTCCTTTGCTCTTTCCCCTTGCTCTTTCTTTCTCTCCCCCTTTGCCTTTCTCCCTTCTCATCTCTTACCCTCTCCCCATTGCTGCCCTTCCTCACCAGTTGTCAGCATTTATTATAGTAAAGCATCATGCTCGAAGTCCACAAACTACGTGTAGTGTACAGGGTCCCAGAGCCTGGGGAGAACTGGAATCTAATGCTTCTCCCATCCCGTTGGTTCACAGTATTTGAAAGAGAGCCTCAGGACTCTGTATTAATCCCGGCATATGTGAGGCTGAGGCGGGAGGATTATGAGTTTGAGTCCAACCTGGGTGACAAAGTGAGACTGTGTCTAAACAAAACCAACTGAACAAAACTCTCCAGATAATTCTGAACACAGTGGGATATGTTACCATGTTTGGCGATACATAGATACTATTCTTGGTGTTCTGAAAAATAAAACTTAAGTAATCTAGCACTCATGATAGTAAGGAAGGAACATTTACCTTTCTGCACCTGTTCCCTGTCACTGTGCTTAACAGACAGTAGGTTCTCAGTGAAGAAATGCACTGTAGCTGAGAATTTGAGGGTACCTCTTCTGGGAGCCCTGCAGACATGATACCGAGGCATCCGCCACCCCAGAAGGGCTGATGGCCACTGGGTGTGCAAACATCACCCAGTTTGGAAACCCATAAGGAGTCATAGCCTGGCCCAGCTGTTAGTATCTGGGTGACCTTCAGACCCCAGCTTGGCATTTTGAGGAGAGGCATAGTAGCGCAGTAGCATTTCAGTTGCTGATGACAAGACCTATTCAAGGTGTCAGTGTAGCCTCTGCCCCATTATCTGTCTTGAAAGGTCAAGATGACTTCCTTTTAAATGATGGGTTTATATTGCGGATTATATTTACAATCACTCCCTGGTAATTTCTTCAGGCAAAACAGCAACAAAATAACAATCAAAAACCATAGTGCTATTATTCCAGAGAAATAGATCGGAGGTTTAAGAAAATGATTGCAGGTATGCTATGTAAATGAAATTGCAGGACAAAGCTACAGCCCCAGGAAGTTTAAAGTAGTGGAGGGCACGCTCTCAATTTGTATCCTGCAGTGTGCAGTAAGAGTGCAGTAGGAGCTTTTAGCTTGATGTCCCTGGCTTTTGTCAACCAGCCATTTAGTATTAATACTCTCTCATAGCAAATGCAGAATTGCGATTTCCTTGGAGGAGATTAACTAACATCAGCATTCCTACAGAAGCCACACAGAGGAGGCTGTGAGCTTCTTGAGTTCCGGTGAAGTAGGCTTTGCTGAAATCTAATCGAGCCCAACAGATTCTAGGCTCTCTGCTCTGTCTATGAGGCCCCTCCAGCTTTCCCTGGGTGTTTCTGTTGGATTTTATTTTCTTTCTCATTTCTCCTGGCCAAGCAAGGACCTGACATTTGGCCCCTTGTGAACTTCTAAAATACTAAATTTATATGGGCTAAGATTGGACAGAAATATGCTGAACTTGGCTTTTCAGTAGTTATGATCTGGGTTTAATGCACTTTACTGTCATCTTTTTTACCACCTGCTCATTCCAGCTGCCCATGTAACTCACATCAGGCAGCCCCAGGAGAAAAGCCCTCCTGTCACTATAGCAGGAAAACTGTTCGTATGTGTATTTCATTATATTGGCTTACCTGATAATGTAATAATAGTCATGATGCCAACCATGAGGAATAATCCTGTGTAACTCAAACTGTTTTAAGTGCCATATATGTGTTGTCATTTACTATTCCAATAAAGTGAGTGCCATCATCCCATTTAACAGATGGGGAAACTGAACCCACAGTGGTTATGTAGCCACTGGGGACTGGGGTCACAGTTAGGAGTGGCAGAATGGCAACTTGGACTAGGTCTGTTTCTACCCATCTCTTACCACTGTGTCCTCTTCTCTGCTGACCATGTGGTTGCTATACAGGTAGACCAGCTTTTTATGTGAGATGTCTTTTTTGAGTTGCCTTATTTGTTCCTTGCTACTCATATGAATCTTAGTCTCCCTAGGGCCCCACTCAAACCCCATTTCCTCCGTGGAGTCATTTCCACAATCTCAGCTTGACAGGTTCTTTTAAACAAGTCTTGCAGGTATCTTTTATTGTGAACATTGCTGATGACCTATTTACAGCCTGTTTTTGTTCCTTGCCATTGATGAGATCCTTTTAACATTGTTCCCTGATTCTTGCCTGCGTCTGGACTCCTGACTTCACTCTTTTATGCATATTCTTCCCTCTTTTAAAAATACTATATCTCAGCAAGTTGATGCTTGTGAAATGCTTGCTAATTAGTAGGCAGATGAAGGCCTGAGTTAAACTGGTCATTGCCTCCTGTGGAATCCATGAATACTTACCTGATGACCACATGATCACATTTCTGAGAGTTAAGAACTTGGCGTTCATCTTCAGGATATATAGCATCAGGTTGCTGGTGGCAACATCATAGTATGTCAGCATCTGAAGCTAGAATTTCTGATTTTGGGAGCTGAATTAATTAAAAGAGATTAGTTGACTCTCTGGTTTCATCCATAAAGAAATAAGAGACTCTGGGCCAGGGATGCAGCTCAATGGCACTACACCTGCCTTGCAAGCACAAGGTCCTGAGTTTGATCCCCGGTACCAAAAAAAAAGAAAGAAGAGAACCAGTCTGAAATAAGTTGGCCACACTTAACAGCAAGTGGGCTACAGCCTTCGGATACTGGGTCATATGTTCCTGAGGGCCAAATTTACTGGTAGACATGGCCCTAGTCTAGCCTGATGGCCCTAGATTTAACCATGCCTGGGTCAGTGGGAAAGTGGCTTTATACTTAATAGACTTCATATCAATCAACTTCATATGAGATAGATTGTTTATTATTGGAGATAATATTTTGGTTTAAATGACTTATTTTAATTTCTTATGGAATTTATCCTGCTCTCCTAGGCCCATCTACCCTCCTTCACCTCTCCATTGCCTCTACCTTAGCCAAAGTAGATTCCTTCAGAAGAGCTCCTTCACTCATACTGCTTTCTGCGCCTGGGTCATCTCTGGCTCTTCTCCAAATGCCCATATTCCCCTGATCTTTGAAGAATGAACTTAGAAATGCCTTGATAATGATGCTCCTCTTCAGTTGGTGGTTTCCAAAAGCTCTTTGAAGCATAGATCTCTTTGTCAAGCAGCAGTATTTATCAGAACCCCAATATGTATCCCACAACTCTCCCTTACTGAAGCAGGAGTTAAGGAACTCACAATTCTGCACAGCTACTTCCAAGGACTTGCTTGGAGCACAGTACCTTTCCTCTTGCTCAAATTCCAACTTTGGGATGCTAGCAGCATTTGTCCTGCACCCTTCTTATAGCTCATTCTCCACTTAACACCTTTCTTTCAGGTGTGTGACACCTTTTCTACTAGGAGCTAAAGCTTTCTGCATATAGAGTTCTTGCCTAGATCTGCTATGTTTTTCAAAACAGTATCTCCTGCAAGGCGTGTGTTCCTGAAATGCCGTTAATGAATAAATTCATATAGTTCCCATCTCTATAGATTAGCATATGAAATCTAGCAGCTGAAGCAAATGGTCTGTGGAGGTCAGTGTTGTACAGAGAGATTATCATGGGCCCTTGAGGGGAAGGCTGCATTGCCTAGTTTGTACCATTGTTCCTGCGTAGGCTACTTTGTATATGGAGGTACTTCCTGTGTCTGAGAAGTAGTCTTTGTCACCTGCTTCCTGGCTAGTGATGGAGTGAAAGATCACCTGAAGGAAATCAAGGACTTGAGAACTGGTCAGACCAGACCATGGAGTCCTAGTACAGGTAGTCTACGTGAGAAGGTAGAATTGAACATTCTGAGGAAACAGCTCATCTAGAATAAACTGGTACGAGGTCAGGTTGAAAAGAACACAGCTATAGAATTAATTCAATCATACCATGAAGGAACACCTTGTGATGACAGTTACTTTATATATAATTAATTATAAGTAGATGAAGTTTGTTATAAAAACTGCACGAGTGTATTCAGAATGACCATAATAAATGTATATCTGATGGTATGATAATAAAATGATTTTCATCTTAGGTAGAATTGTGAATTACTCGTGACTTAGAGCTCTCAGATAAATCAATTTATTAAAAAAATGATTCTTTTCCTCCCCATCTGTGTATCATGGGGACATTTCAAACTACTGGGCAGCCCTGGATACTAGGAGATAAGTATTTGGATAACAGAATGTACTCAGAAAGGCATGAGCCTCTGGTGCTCTTTAAATTTAGGTTTGTGTTTTCTGGGAGCTAGTTTCAAATTGAAGTGAAGGTCAGGGGAGATGATTTATAAATGGTTTTGTTTCATGTTGAGGTGTACATGAATTTGTTTTCAGTACTGAAATTATATACTGTACTTGATTTGGGCTATTTTATCTAAAATATTAATCTCTTCATTTGGCATTTTAGAGAATTCTCCCTTGGTCAGTATACAGAAAACAGTGTTGACAGGATTATGCACGTGTTCAGAAATACGAAGGTAGATTTATTCATTATTTAGTGGTTATGCTAAGATGTAAATATGGAACCCATCTAGTCAGTTTCCATACAATTTAAGGAGTGGGGTAGAGAACTGACTCAGGCTTCATTTGGACAGTCCTTGTTGCGAGAATAGTTTTTGGTGTGACTAAAATTCTAGTCTCACTGATTCCTCTGAAAGACAGACAGAGATTGGGTTGAAATCCACTGGGATGGTTAGAGCTGATTGTTATATTTCATACAACTTCACTTGCATTCGGGTGGGGCACCAGATAGTTCTTGCTAAGTGCTTCAGAAGTCAGTTGTCTCTGACTCCCTTTTTGCTGTGGCCCTTTGCCAGGGATTTGGGAAAGTGGAGACCTTTAAAATGTGGTCTCCCTGGCCCAGAGCAGATAGCCCAGGTGGAGAGACAAGTCAGACCAGGAGCATTGCAACATTCCAAGACATTTGCCTAGCTGAGTAGTATGTACACCTTCATTTTATTTTTTATAATCCTTTTAAATGACCTTGTGATTGAAGAAATAGCTACCATCTACAGCATCCTTTACTGTGTGAGGAGACCAAGTTGTGTCTTAGAGTCAGAGCTTCCCAAGACACCAACTATGGTTTTCTCCTTTCCTGCAGTAGGCTTCCAAGAAGGAATCCAGAAAAGGTTTGAATGGAGTCTCTTAGTCTCCATTCCTGTCTCAGTATAATGTTATTCATCCAGTTCTACCTCATTTGGGAAAAAAAAAGATAGTGAACATATGGCACTAGATTTCTTGGGTAGAAGAGAATTGTTTATGATCCTACGTTGTTTTTATGTTTGGCATTTAAAACGAGAAAGCTTCCTATTGTTGGGACATCATAAAGAGAGACATAGTAACCACGTGTGATTAGAGGTGTTCAAATTTGTCCTGTCTCCATGGTTTTCAGAATCAATGCTTACATTGAAGAAGAAGTCCAAAGACGTCTTCAGGATTTGCACCGCACAGTTGGTATTGCTAGGAATACTTCTACAGATATAACGAAAGTGAGTGGAAGGAACTATTTTCTTTTCAAAATGACCTTGTTGATAAATTAGTGGTGGCAGTGATAGTGTGGGGGCTTATACTACTGCCACTTAGAAAATTCAGATGTAGGATATTCTAAAAAATCATATTAAATATTGCTTGGACTGAGCTTAACAGTTTACACATTGTTTTAATTCAAGAGTAACTTTATTTTACACTTTTGTAATTCTGAGAAAACTCTTGGTAAGTGAATATATAGTGTCCTAAAATGCTTTATTTTGTTTGATTTACAACAATTCTACATGTAACATTTATCTGTTTCTTCCCAAAATACAGCCAATTTCCATAAGTATTTAATTTACTTTGTAAATTATGCAAAGTAGAAATATATTTTCCCCTTGAGAGATATGTATTTGCAACAAGCTGATTTTCATCAACTTGTAAAAAAGATAATTCTTTTCTAACCTGCAAATTAAGAAATATCCTAAAGAATTCTTCCTTGCAATATTATTCTTAGAATTTTAAGATTAGGAATAAATGGTTTGATTCTCTTTTAGGCAGATGGATCTATAGAGTCCTATTTACCTTGGGCATATAAATGCTGTAGAAGGGTTGTCATTAGTGAATGATAAGTATGTTTCTTTAGAATTTTGTTCCCATAAATACTTCTAATCAAATCAAGTTTTTCTCCCCTCTATGAACAGGCTATAATTTAATATAGAGGGGTTTTTATTTTCTTTTCAGGATGAGAAACTTCACAATGACACCATTCAACGTAAGCTAAAATATGAGGTAGGTAATGATTTTTTAGATTGATAGGGTCGCTTAAATTATGGCATGATTGTGTGATTAAATTTTCTTAATGTTTAGTTGCATAATTAGAATTTTGAAGTCCCAGTGAGATTAATGGCTAATGGGGAAGGCAAGCTATTATATGGACTTAAATTTAAATGAGATCCTGCAGGTTGAAAACTGCTCTGGCTTCACTTGAGTGGCATGTAGCTGTGGTGGAGCTTTGCCCAGGTTTTCCTTTGTAACAGTATCCTTTCCCTTGGTCTGCATTTAAAAGCCAGAATTATATAATCAGATATGAGGTTAAGAAATGAAACTGAGTACTTCTCCATGTTTTAGAAACCCTTTTCATGTGTAGACTATGAGTTGGAAGTAGTACAAAGGAAATATACTTGATTCATTAGCTTATTTCTCTGGTGCATTGTCAAACTAACATGTATTTGGACATAGTATATAAAATTTTGCTTATTTTTTCTTGCTCTGTGGAGCCTGTTTTTCCTGTATAGTCCTAAATTTAAGAACAAAACAAAACTGCCAGGTTGTAGTACTCTTTCCTCCACCATCCACATGTTACTGAACAGGGAACACCAAGTTGAATGTTCTACCATGAGCTTTACTGACTTGACTGTGTCACCACCTGGTGATGACATTGTGCCCTCTGAACACCATCTCCTGAACGGGTAACCCCAGGCAGAGCACGTGTCTTTGTGTCCATGGTGCCTGGCACATAGCAGGCCTACAGAAAGCTTTCATAATGATGGTAACTTGACAGGGAAGGCACAAGCAAGGATTCCCAAGAAACAGACCCCAAAAATGGAGAAGTGAGACCCTAGGTTGGAATACCTGTGAATTTCTGTTGGCCTTGCCTTCTGATTTTCATTATTTATGACCTGATAGTTTTACATTTTAGACAAATAGTCATGCACTTACTTTTACATCTAAGTGTAGCCTTTTAAACACAGAGGCAAAAGTGTTGGAATTTACTTTAGAGAAAACAAAATCTTAGACCAAGAAATGGATACTGTGAATCAATCTCATACTATATACTTGTATCAAATGCTCAGCAATTTGAGATATATAGTATGGAATGAGATATATAATATGGAAATGTATGTGCTGTGTATAAATTAGATCTTAAATCATGTACCAATCAATACCAATGGCTTAGGCTCTCTACTTAACCTCTAAATTATTCTACCCAATGAAATCAATGACCACAAGAATCATCATGTGCAAAAGAATCACAGGAAATGATACTACATGCCCATTTCAACTTTTTTTGACATGTTGAACAGAAAAGGCAATCTCAGCCAGCACAATGCGTTGTCTCACTTCCGTCCAAAGACACCACTGACACTGCCCACATTGTCATTAGAGAAGAGAGGAGAGAGGCAGCACAGAGCACAGGGCACAGAGCACAGAGGCAGCACAGAGGGCCTGCCGGACCCATCCCCAGAGCACCCTTCCCATCCTTGGCATCATCATCACAGGAGGGAAAGGATCTGTCCTTGGGGGCCGGGGTGCTGCCTGACAGCAGTTGCAAAGATCACTCTGAGCCGTGTGACCACCTGGAGCCAGAGTGCCTTCATCTACCTGAAAGCACTTTTCTTAACAGAAAGGACACCAGCTTTGTTCCAGAGGATTTTCAAGGTGGGTCAGAAAATCTCAGTAAGCCAATGACTCTCAAGGATGAACACAGCTTGAGAGCTGAGTCCAGCTGGACATGGCTGCAGCACACATCCCAACAAGCGTCTACAGATGGCAGAAGCAAGCAGGTCAGGCTGAGCGGAGCTCTCTGCTTTGTTCTCTCAGACACTGCTTCTCAGGAGGAGTGTGCACCTGGCATTGCTCCTCAGAGTGGCCAGACTCTCATGGTTTGTGATGATCAAGACAAGAAAGCTTTAGCTGCTGAACAGATTAGCTCTGCAGCATCACCAATAAATATCAAGGCAGAAGGAAACAGTGGCCTGGGATATTTTTACCACAAGTTCTCAGACCTTTATAAAGATAGCAGTAATCACCTGCTGCATGCTGGCACTGTAGTAATCAGCCGAGCCATGCATGTGGGGAGTTTGTGTGCCCCAAATAGGCTCGCCTCGCACCTGACAGCGTTCTTCTGAAGCCTGCCAGTGCTGAGGCACCTGCCCCTGGCTTTGCCCTTGGAGTCACACATGTCACCATCAGAACCCTACTCTGTTCCTGGAACTCAAGTTGGCGGTGGTGGGAGTGGTGGCTCAGAGGCAGGGAGCCTGGTGCCAGCGGAGAGCTCCATGCCTTCTGTGGCCTCTGCCTTCACAGCTGCAGGTTTACCAGACTCCTCACCAAGTTCAGTTTTCTGCCTTGAGTGTGAAGATACTGGAGCGAGCTGTGCATTTATACAGACCCTTGTGCAGTTCCCAGCTCTCATGCTGAAATTGCAAGCGTGCCCTTTCAGACTCCTTCAGAAGCATGTGGCTTCTGCTCTACCTGGCCCTTTGAAAAACATGAAGGAACTCAGGGGGATTTACTGGCTGGCTGTGGCCAACTGGTCAGACCCTGAGCCCCGGCCGGGGTGCCTGCTCCTGATTCCCTCAACTTTGTACGCTTTGGCCCTGGCAGATACTCACCCAGGCTCAATGAGCATTTTTCATGCTCTGCCACTCTCTAGACTGCAGGAAATTCAAGTTGGCTTTGGCAGACAGAGCGTCCGATTCCTGGGCTCTACGGAGGGTCTCCTGCTCACAGCGTTCACTTACAACAAAAGCCTTTCCCAGCAGCTCTGCCGAGACCTCCTTTGTGTCCTGGAGTCAGAGGCTGAAGCTGCTGCCTTCATGAACCATCCTTTGCTGCAGCAAGATTTGGTTCAGCTCTCTCTTGATTGGAAAACAGAAATCCCTGATTTAGCTTTGGCGAGTGGGGTTCAGTTGTCCTCCAAATTCCAGACTACCTTGGTTGACATGGTTTACTTCCTTCATGGGAGTATGGAAGGCAACTCCCCTTCTCTGGCAGAGGTTCAGGTGTTGCTCTACACGACGGTCAGAGTTGAAGGCCAGTCTGGTTGTGCCCTGTGCCAGTCCCTGGTCCTGCTGAACACCCACCTCGCATTGGTGAGAGAAGACTGTGTGTTTTATCCTCACACTGGGGCTCTGAGCACACTTCGCCCACATGTGCAGTTTGATGTGATCCGGTGCTGTGCTCTGAGTGCACTCAGGTGTGTTGTTGTTCCAGAGAAGAGAAATTTATCAACAATAGAACTCATCTTCTTACGAAAATGCAGGCTTGCATCAGACTCAGAAAATCGCCCATCTGCGGCCCTTCAAGCAGCGCCAGGTGCCCAGCTGTTTGCCACCCCAGCGTGGCTGCAGGGTGGTCAGAATGGGGCACCTGAGGTCTGGAAACTCACTTTCAATTCTCAGGATGAGGCGCTTTGGCTAATCTCACACTTGACAAGACTCCAAGAGGAAGACTTACAAGCTGCAGCACTATTTTCTTGAGATCTTTAATAAAATGACCATTTTTTTCTTTTTCTCTCTCCTATTTTTATTAGTATATGTTTGCGACGCATAATAGATACATTCTATCATGGTGAACTGCTAAATACATACTACTTCTTGATCCCAAAGAAAAAATAATTCTAAAGGCATAAAAATAAAATGAACATTATGAAAACAGTCAAGGGCATATTCATATCTTAGTATATAGCTAATCAAATTGGAATTGGAAGAAAGACCTCTCAAATTGAAAATGTAAATATTTTAAATATTACAGTATGTTGAAAACAGCTGGTAGGAGAAAAGTGATAAAATACCTTTATTACCACCTGCTTTGTTTTCTTGAAACTCAGGCTTATAAATTTGGGTCTGCCTGATTATTAGTGAGGTGATTAAAGCATTTGTTTGGCTGCATGTCGATTTATAGCATGGTGGCTCTGAATCCGTCTGTGTCTGCTGATCCTACAGGCTGATTTGTGCTGCCTGAAAGGCAGTGACCTTCACTGGCACCCTCTGTTCCAGCCCAGTTAGGACGGTGGTGTGGCGGGGTGTATTAGTGCTTTGCTGGGTGTCCTGGCAGGCCCCAGGGGAGGGAGGATTCAAGGATCCTCTGTCACCTGCCACTGCCTGCCCTGCCCAGTCTTCTCCCTTAGCTAATTGCTTCTCCTCCCTTGTTTCAGGCTTCTTGACTGTTCCTTACCAGCTCCTGACTTGTTTTATTTTCTTACTACTCTATTGCTGTTGCTCACACCCACAACTCCTACCACAGTCCAGTTCTTTCTCTGAACTTCTGTATTTTTGCCTTTACTCTTCACCTCAGAGTTTTTTCCCTAAAGGCTTCTTTCTGCTGTCTGGTCAAATTTGATGTTGCCTCAGAAGACACTCTGCACTTTTCCCTGGCTTCCCTCCTTCTTGCCTCTTGCCACACCCATTCTCAGAACCTCTGAAAAGAAGCCCTGCTGTCCTGGGGTGCTGTCCCAGTTGCCTCTGCCCAGGGTGGCTCTTTCCTTCTCAGTAAGTTGCCTCCTAAGGGCCTTGGGCTATGCCCTTTGGCTCTTTGTCTCCTGAGGGACACCTCCCTCTTTGTCTGCCTTTGTGCAGCACTCCGGAACACCTTTTGAATTTATGTCATATTTCTCTTGAGCTTGGTTGCTCTGCCATTGTTGCCCTGTCTCTGAGGTATGTAATACTGAATTCCAGTGTTTCGCAGGGTGCCTCTTCTGCTCTGTCCATGCCTCTCCTACTCAGCTGGGATCACACTTTTATTTTTCAATTCTGCTTAAATCTTTGGATAATGGCACCAGAGATATAGCCTCTTCTGTAGTTCTGTTACTCATTAGTGATGGAGATGGTGTCAAAATGTAACCCACCTAGAAAACTCACCCTCTCCCTTTGGCCAGGAGGTACACATCTTCCCTCTTTCCCCAATGGAGCAAGTGACAAGCAACTTATATGGTGCCACATTTGTACCTCCACCCAGTTTTGGGGAAGTGAAGAGGAAAACCCAGGAAGTTGGAGAATGTGCAAGGATCTACACACTGCTGGCTAAAGACCTGTTTCCTTTGGACCAGTGGAAGCATTTTGTTGTTGAGGCAAGTGAATTATCTTGTTTTTAGGTGGAGCAAATTTTTATCTTTTCCAAAGACCCCCTCTTCCCTACATATACATCTTAAACCCAAAGGCTTTTAACTCAGTGTTGAGGACATGTTCACATTGAGGTCACTGATTGGTCACTGTCTTGGTTAGTAGCTTGTCTTGTATTATGGGAAAAATTCCCAAAATGTACCATGACAGTCTTCTAATATCAGTACCATTTCTCCTTATTTTCATATATTTATTTTCTTCAGCTATATTATTTTACTTTACTTTTTCTTAAATTATCTCAGTATTTTCTCATAATCCTTGAAAAATAGAATAAATAATTGTGAGCAGAGATTAGAGCTTGAGATTCTGACAGAGGGACACCATAGTCAAAAAAGGAAGAGATACATAAATAGTATATAATTTTAGCAAAGAGTGTTAAATATTAAGCTGACGGACTCTCATTTCTTCATGGGTACAAAAGCATAAATCTCCCACGTTGCAAATCATGGCCTTTAGTATCTTTCACTGATGGAGCATGCTGCAACTGTGAACACTGCACAGAATCATATTACTCATTACCACTTCTTACTCTGCTTTATGTTCTAAGTAGGCATCTGTGGGGATTATGTTCAGATCTCACCACATTACAGAAGCAGCCTACAGCATTCACATTTTACATGCCTTTTCTCTATACTAAGCGTATTTTGTACCTGGAGATAAATATGGTTCGTGGGGCTGAGAGTTTGATTTAGTACTTGTGTAAGAGGTATTAAGGTTGTTGTAGTACCTGCAGAAGCAATGGAGAACCGCTAGTGCCATTACCCACTGTGGCTTTGATCAGAGAGGCTTCCTCGGGCTTATTCTTCAGGAGTTCCAAGGGACTCCTCTAGCAGAGCAGGTGTGAGAGTCCAGGGATTCATCCTAATGGAACAGCTCAGCTGTAATGAGTTTCTGAATCAGAAAAATCCTAACTTCATACATGCTTGGTTACATGGCACTTTGCATTGTTGTAATATAGATATAAACATTTACATTATGGGATTTGATATGTTCTAGACAATACATCTTTGAGTACTTTTGAAATAGTGATTTCATCCAACTTTGATTAAAACCCATTATGCTCACAGCTGCCTGTTTTACAGACTTGTGGTTGGCAGGGTAAATTTATTTAGAGTTTGTTGAAAAACATTTCAAAACAGTTTGTCTCCCCAGTCTCATTTCTTTAAAAACATGCATACTTCCCTTTGGAAGGGAACACTTAAGCCTTCTAACAGTAATAATTACAGTAATTTTTCCTTACCTTCTTTTTCCCTGATGATTTAAAGCTAGATTTGAGCTTTTTTTTTTTTTTTAAGTAATGCTGATTTGATGGTGAGACAGTTTTATTGGATAGGCCAATTTCTAATGAACTGATTTTGTTAATGTATCACACAGTCCAGTATGTAGACTAATCTACCTCAATTCTCAAAATATTTCCTACAGTAAATGTTTTATCAGTCAGCTATTGAAAAGTAACAAGCATAATGAACAACCCTCCAAGCTTCGATGGCTTTTTGTTTGTAACCAACAAATGAAGGCTTTTTTTCTCTCTCTGCTGGTTTGCAAGGAGGTGGCAGTGGCTCTGCTGGAGGCTGCAGGTCTGCTCCGTGTATCTGACTTTGAGTCAGTACAGAAGGAGCAGTAGACACAATGATAAGAGCAGCCACACAAGCCTCTACTGGCATATTTGTCAGCTAGCATTTCATTGGCCAACATGAGTCAGCCAGAGAAACCAAGGTCAAGGCAAGGAAGTAGACTCCACCCATGTGGACTACCGTGCAGGAGAGTGAAGACTTGGGGCCATTAATCCAGTCTGCTATAGATGCTTCCTGTCAAGATTCCTGAGGTTCTACTAAAGATAAGACTCATATAAAACTGGGAGGACTTCTCCTTCATGGAAACTTTTAAGTACTAGAAGAATGTATGTCCTAGGACTTTTAAAGTTAGTTCAGCTTGCTTTCCAGTTCTGTCTCTGGGTATTTTCATGGATGGGCAGATCATCTTGTACCACTGAAGCAAGACGTTCCTTGGAGACTGCTCTTGTTAGGCCATTTTTTCCATAACGTCCTTGTGATGACTGGCACTGGCAGCTTCATCCAGCTAAGGTATTTCTTCTGTAGCAGAACAAAGTAAGTCTGGGCTGCAGGCTCTATTATATCACAGCCTACAGAGAACAGTCCCTCTCCCCTCTCCCCTCTCCCCTCTCCCCCTCCTCCTCTCTCCCCCTCCCCTCTTCCTGGGATCTTTTTTCTTTACCTTCAGTCCCTCTGTTCTTTGCACAACAGTTGCCAAACTGCCACTATCTAATCTCTATCTAATCTTGCTAAGGATGCATGCACATTTGTAATTTGTGAAAGCCTCCTTTATGAGAAATGGAACCAAATAGTGTAGTTGATGAAGAGGAAAGAGATTCTATTGTAAATCATTCTTCCCCACTCTTATTTGGCTAAAATCTCATGTTGCTGAAGACATAGAGGATTGTTATGATGACAACAATCCCACCTATTCTGTATATTGTGGTTTTCAACGTGTGGAGTTTTTGCCCCTGTGTCTTTCCTCTTACTTTTAAAATGATCTCCATTTCATATCTGAGAACTTAGACACAAAAAGGATTACTTGGCTGAGAATTGGGAGTAAAACCTGAATTTACTTACTTCACAATATACATTTTTTTCCTACAATAATAAAGCCACCTCTTTCCTAGGGACTGTTTTATTTGACATCGTCTGGGTAATTTTTTTTTTTTGACAGTGCTAGAAGTGAATATTTGCAAGCATTGCTAAGTTAATTTTTACCTGACTTGTAATTTTTTTTCTTAAAATACCTAGTGAAAGATGATTTCTATGAGCTTGTAGGTATTGTTTTTATTCTTTTTTTTCAATGAGTACCTTTCTTTCCAATTCCATTGTTTCCTTATAGGAGCCTTGTGTCTTCTTTATCCAATTCTCTACGTTTTGTAGCTACTGTAGAAGAAAAACCTGGACACAGTCATAGTGTGACTGAGATAGAGATAACCTTGAATGTTCAATGTTGCTCTTTTAGCTGGAAAGTAAAACAATATTGCTGTACAGAAACCTGAAGGAAATGCCTCCTCTCTTTCCACTCTTCATTTTCTCCTAAACTGTAGAATAAAGCACAGGTGGAGCCAAAGCTAGAGCTCAACAAAACATCAGGGGTATAGATGTGTGGTTCTTTTCATGATTAATCAAAGATATTGTAAAATTAGGATGGGGAACAAACTGATTTTTTTCCTCCCAAGGATCTCAGACACTTAGCAGTTGTTCCTTTGTTATCAACCAAGTATACTAGGCCCAATATTTAGTCTTTTTAAAATAACCTTTTATATAATGAGTTGTTCAGAAATGGTCACCATTAAAGGTTCTAGGCTTATGTGAGCTATAGATCACAAAATAGTGACATTTTTAATAGTTTCAAGTTGAAACATTCATCAGATATACAATATTTGCAAACCTTGAAACAGTGTTGATCGACTCAGATCAATATTGAAGTAATTCTAGTTAGAATATGGTTTGGAAATGTCAGCTAAACTCAAGGTATTCTATAAGTATCTGCGACACAGTTTGTCAGTTTCTGGGTAATTTATCCCTATGGATATGTATCAGGATTTTTAAAAATCCTTTATTTGAATAGTTGTATTTCTGTTTCTCAATGTAAGTAATCTAGGCTCTTTTTTAAGAAGAGATAAGGTTAGCATTGTTTCTTTGGCCAGGCTGTTAAGTCCTATCCCTGACAGAGAGAGATGTACCTGTACCATGGCGGGTAGGGGGAAATACAGGTATTAGCAAAATCAAGTTCATTGTATCTAAGTCCTACTAAGTCTTCAAAGAGCATGATTGAGACAAGGCCCCCTTGTGGCACAGGCAGACTTCTTCTCATGGACCTGAATATGAGCACATCTTGGCTATTTCTCATACTCATAATTTCTCTTGCTCATAGAAGTTATCTTTATACCCTGTTCCTTATGACATAGCTCATATTTGAAAATAAAACAGATCTTCCCAAAATCCTCATTTTTAAATTGCTGAGATGTAGTAGTTACTTAATCTATAATAATTCTAGCTAGAACTATCACTGTGGCATATATGATTGAAAATAAAGAGGAATAAGAAATAAGTGCTATGATAAGAAAGTCAGGAATTGATGATTTTGTTAAATATGATAAAAACCATCGTTTTCCTATAGTTTCAAAAACTTGGATAAGGGTGCCAGGAAATTAGATGGCAATTCTTGGGTTTGACCTGGTCATGGTCAAAGCATGTACTGAATTTAACCATCTGGTACATAATTAGAGTGTTTAGGGGCCAGGGATTTAGCTCAGTGGTTCGACCTCCTGCCTTGCAGGCTCAAGGTCCCAAGTTTGATCCCCGGTACCAAAAATAAAACAAAACAAAACAACAACAACAAAAAAGTAGAATGTTTAAGGGGAAGTGCTGAGGACTCCCTGTAGAATTTGACTATTCTGCGTAGTGATCCGCAGAATAGATCTGCTGCTTCCTGTTCATTTCCTCAATTTGGCCCTTTTGAAGGAGAGAGCCCAAGTAGGAAGAGAAGATTGTAATGTGGATATTTGCATTGTAGCTTGTGTTCTGCCTGTTTATTTTGGCTATCTGACTACATTGTTTCACTACAATAGAAAAATGGCATATTTGTTGACACAAAACATAATTTCATTAACAGCTATCAGAAAAGTATTTCTTTGTATTTAATTTTTAAAGATGATATTTCTTATGTACAGACATGTAATCCAAGTTAGTAATTACATTTCTTGACCTTTTATTTCTAAATAGAATCATTCCAGAGTGCACTTAAAATTTCTTGTACCCATCACACAGAGGTATGTCCAAATAGCCTTGCACGTTTCTTTACCCCCTGCTGCTATCTGTCACTTGCTTGCCCACTGCACTCTAATAATCTTCTTTGCCACATGCAGAGAAAGTAATTCCAAAATAAATAATGCCACAAATATTTCACAGCTCTCATAAACAATGGAGTATAATATGATATAGCACACATTTACATGTCTAGCATAAAACCCATGATATTCAAAATGTAGCCACTTTCAAGTCAAGAATAAATTTAGGGGACATTTATATTAGGTTTTTTTTCTGGCCTGCCCAATATAAACATAGCTTAGTAGAATGTCAAGAACCTTTCACTCCGTATCCTCAGACTGCTACACTTCCCATGAATTTGCCTTCATAGAGTACTTTGTAAAAATTACATTGTAGCAATAATTTGATAGAAAGTCATACTTTTTAATATTTCTCTCTATTTATTATACTTTGGATCTGTGCCTTATATTTCAGTTATTCATTTCTGTTGTAGCTCATTTCTGTGCACTCATTAATACTGAGTTCATAAAATATCTGTGAGATTGAAGTATACTATAGCCAAGGATGATGGCAGTGGACTCTGGCCACATTTCTTGGCTCCAGCACGCTAAGTGATGAAGAGGGGATGGCTCTCTTCTCAGCCATGGATCTGCTGTGAGTCCCTGTCTGGTACTGAATGGGGCAGCAGCTCTAGCATCAGGTCAAGAACCTTTTATCATGGCACCTGTTCAGGAGCCGTGTAAAGGCTGTCCTGATTGATATGAACTATGTGGACATTATAAGTTGCAGCCACTCCCAGTTAACTGAGCCCTCCTCAGTTCATACACCCAGGACAATTGCCCATGGTGAGGGTTTTGTTTCACTTTGTTTTGCTTTGCTTTTGTTTTTGTAAAGGATATGTGAGCCTGAGCCTCAAACCACTGTGCTTTCCTTAAGGATTGATTTCATAACTGTGTCTTCTTAGAAGTACAGAACCTCCCAGTCATAAAATACCCCTGTAGAAACCCAGACATCAGTGCGGTTTTATCGCATTTTGAAAACTGATTTATAAAAAGAAAGTTAAAGTAGAAAATATTACCTTTAGGGTAGAAACACCAAATCTTTGTTCAAAATTTAGTGCAGCCGAGAAACACTAAAGGTGTTAGAAATCACAAATACTTTGCAGAAGTTTTGCTGTATTCCCAGGATCAGGGCCTCTTCATGAAACATAGTTGGTGCTCTTAAGTAGAAGATAGTAATATTTTGCCATGTACCTTAGAAGTGACTGTAAGAAAAGGTATTTGGAAAGTTAAAGATAAATAAATCTTCTGTGAAGCTCACAGAATATGGCTGGACAGTTTTGTCCACAACTTTTCTTCAGTAAAATTCATGACATTTAGCTAACAACGAACATTCAGTGTTGCTCTCTCAGATCTCTCCTTTCAGCTTGCTAATCATGTTATAACTCTGTTTGCTGTGTCAGAGCCTACCTCTTACCTTAAGTCCCACAGGCCAGGGCATTGTTTTGTTCACAGTTGGAATTGAGAAATAAAATACCATGCCCACTTGTGTAGCTGAGGAAACTGAGGACTGATGGGATCAGCCACTGTTCTTTCGAACAAGTCCCAGAGCAAAAATCATATCCTGAGCCTCCTCCTCGATTTCCTGAGCCTTTGAAGTGAACACCACCTGGCATCCCAAGTCCACTTTCTGTGACCACCTTAGGGAAGCAGGAAGAGCTAGAGATTCGATACCAGGTCAATCACACTGGTTGATGTAGTCTTCCACGCCTCTGTGACAACCCCATGATACATGGGGTCTCGAAAGTTTCAAGTATGTAAGTAGAGATACTGCTCTTGGCAAAACTGTGAAAGAAAAAATAGAAATTGCCCTTTCAGATCCTCTCCCTTACCAAATGTATGTGATGACCTTGTTCTTGAAGCAAGAGAAGTTCAGTAGATAGGTATGAATAATGAACCCTTGCCTGGTGGGAGGTGGCTGTGTTTAAGAAGTTTTTTCCTAATAGCTGGGCCTGATATACACATCTGTCCTGGGAGGCTGAGGCAGGAAAATTCCAAGTTCAAGCCTAGCCTGAGCAACTTAGCCAGACCTTATCTCAAAACAAAAATAAAAAAATAAAATAGGGCTGGGGACATAGCTAAATGCAAAGGCATTGAGTTCAATCCTCAGTATTGGAAATAAAAAGTAAAGAATTTTATATTACTATTCCTGGGGGACTAAAGGGGAAAGGGAAAGTCATTGCCTTGCTGCCTGCCCTCCCTCCTCCTCAGCTCTTAGGACAGAGCCTGGAACTGCTCTTGCATATGTGCACGTACATGCGCGCTTGTGCACACACACACAGCACCTCTCCAGACCAGCTGTGGTGTTGGCCTTATGGTGTATCTGGTAGGGGGCCCTGGTCCCCCTGAGGTACAGAGAATGGGTCTCTCCTTCCCAACCATGTGATCGGTTGCTAATTGTTGCTTGAAATCCCCACAGTGTCATTTCCCCTCTACTGAGGTAGTCTCCAGCTAATGTTTCCCAGCCTGCAGCTCCTGGTGTGTACTGCCACACACTGATTCCCTGAGACATCGTGTCAGATCCTCTTTGAAAAATAGTTATTAGACACAACATATGGACTTAGGCAGCAGAGCAAGAATTTCCTGGCTGAACCATGGCATTTGTAGATCAAAGACATTTCTTAACATTAATGTGTTCTTATAACTAAAGCCACCAAATTATTTCTCCCTCATGTCTCTTTTAAATGGGTCAGCATGTTCTGTGTTTCAGGGAAGTCTACATTTAAAGTAATTTGGAAATGGACAGTCAGTGACTTAAAAAGTCTTTAACAATGCTTGTGTCTAGAAACTCCTCTAAGAATTTCCATTTTGGTTCTTGGCATCAGGGACAGCTAGTTACATGTGCCTTTGTGACCCACAGTGATTTTTCACCCATGACCAGCTACAGGGAAGAAAATTAAGCACTCTAAAAGGCCATGACAACTTCATATCAGTTCAAAATATTCACACTGCCAGCTTGACTGAAAGCAGCAGTCAGAAGCCAGTCATCCCTCTCTGTGTCATCTGTAAGTCTGAGCTTTTCACACACACAACTAGGTGGTGCCTTCCTTGTTAACACCTACTGGGGACCCCTCCCCTTGCTGCCTGAGAGAGGAGGCTTATTGGTCAAGGATGTGGTTTCACTGCATTATCACAGAGTTTCCAGCTTCTTATATGCTGTGTTTGAATTTTATCTTGGATGGAATTACTTTAAAATTTCATGATAGGAAGAGTGAAGTGGTGATAAAAGTGACTTCTGATTACCCTGAATTTGAGACCTAAGCCCCCAACTTACCTCCTTCAAAATCACCTGGCCTGCAGTCTAGGGCTTCTTATCTCATAAGTAGGGTGGATAATGGTTCGTACCTCCCAGGAGGATCCTGAGCAGTCAGTGAGCCTGTGCATGTACACTGTTCAGTGCATTTTGGTATATAGTAAGTATTCAATAAATGCTGACTATAATTAGAATTTAATTGTTTTATTACTGTTGTTTTAAATACATATTTTCTTATGCTTTCTAAAGCGCCATGTTAGTACAAGGAATGATTATTCAGAGGTTTCTTCCTGTTCCCACTCAGGAGAGCGCATTTCAAGTATTTTTATGCCTCTTTCCCAAGACCCCTCCATCAGAGCTGAGCCGATTGTCAATCAAATGAAGCCCAAGGAAAATTCTTGGGGTTTGTTTTAGTTGTGCTTTGAAGAGCTTTCCACCCTACAGTACCTTATAGAAATGACCAAAAGTCAAAGATGAAATGAATTTGAATAAGATCTCCAGCTTTTGCAGTTTTATGCATAGCAGTCTGTGAAGAAAAGTTTGTCAGATGATCAAGACTTTCAGAAAGGAATCTTAGTTTATACTGATTTTTTTAAAGTCAGGATATGTAATCTCTCTTTGTTTTCACTTGTTCTTATAAATTGGAGGGAACTTCAAAGCCAGACAACATTTTGAAGTGCTTTTGCTCTAACTTCTTGGAATGATGTACCTAAAGAAATGGTCTTTTGTTAAAAGAAAGGCTTAGCATTTCTTTTTCAAAGGAAACCATCATTTTTTCTAAATAAACTCTCCTGGTTTGATGCTCTTTTTCTTTACTTGAAACACATTTTCTCCCTCCTGCCCAAGCAGGGTGTTTGCAGCAGAGTGATCGCGCTTTCTCTTTGTTCTCTCCATCTGATGTGCCTTTGATAGCGGATGGTTTCTCGCTCTTTGGGAGCAAATCCGGATGACCTGAAGGACCCAATTAAGATTAGTATTCCACGCTACATCCTCTGCGGGCAAGGGAAGGATGCACACTTCGAGTTTGAGGTCAAGGTATGTGTCCCTTCTTTCCTCTTCTGCAGGATGGACGTCAGAGGTGTGCAGTGTGCTCCCTGTCACTTTGTAAAAGGAGCTAAAGCTACCTGTGAATGGTGAATGTCTTGTATGATAAGATGTTGTTACACCCTTCTTTTTTTCCACATCAGTCTGTGAAGGTTTACTTGAAATTCACAGAAAATAGTGAAGCAGTCCTGAGGAAAAACTGCATCTCCACAGTACCTTATCTAATAACAAAATTGTGCCCATAGCTTAATCATTTCCCACAATTTTTATGGCGATTCTCACTGGTGAACTTTATAAGCCTTCAAAAGCACGCTAATGCTGCTTCACGCAAACTCCTTCAGAGAAAAGGAAAGGTGGGGAAATTAGTTCGTTCATAAGAAGAGCTAAATGACAGTACTCACAGTTGACAATGCTATTGCAAAAACTGAAGTTTGCAGGCCCCTTTCCTTCTTGAAGAAAATTCATATATTCTGTTCATAATTGTGGTATATATTTTAGCCTGTATCAGAACCAGTTTTGGTTTATAAAACATAACTCAGTCAACTCGTTTCTCAACAAATACAAATAATCTTCGGAACTAAAGAAAATATAGTGAGATTGAGTACTTTTCCATAATTTAGGAATAAACAATACCCCAAACAGTTCATAGTAAATTTTGAGGAGGAAACTGTTCCTTAAATGGCATTTACAGAACCCTAAAGCAGACACATATTTTGTGGTTCAGTGTTGAAAGCAAGAATGAAACAAGAATTCTGTGTGACCACTTCTACCAGACATGCTGCTGGAGGTCCTGTCCAAAGCAATATTGTCAAGAAAAAGAGAAGCAAAAACATGATTAGAAAGGAAGGAATAACTGGTGTTCTCTTTTTCTTAATTTGTGTGTGTTTGCAATATATAATAGTTACATTTGTTTTGAGGAACCGGTACATGTATATATTATATCTCAATCATTTTTTATCTCATTAATCTCCTCCCTACACCCCCTTCCCCCAGATCCCCTACCCCATCTCTACAAACTCTGCCTTTTTGTTTCATACTATCTCTCTTTCATTTTACTCTTTATTTATATTTGAGGTTTCTCATAGAAAAGAAACAATATGATATTTAACTTTTTATGTCTGAATTATTTCACTTAACATTATGATCTCATGTTCCATACAATTTCCTGCAAATGATATGATTTCATTCTTGATGGTTGAATAATATTCCATTGTGTTTATGAACCACATTTTCTTTGTTCATTCATTTGATGATAGACATCTTGGCTGTTTCCAGAGCTTAGCTCTTGTGAGTTATGTGGGTATAAATATGGGTATCCATATATCACTATAGTATGATATCTTTAACTCATTCAGGAATATAGTGAGGAGAGGTATAGCTGGGTCAAATGGAATTTCTATTTTTAGTTTTTCAATAAATCTCCGTACAGATTTCCAAGATAATTTCACTAATTTTACATTCCCACTAACAATGTAGAAATTTCTTGTTCCCTACATCCTCTCAGCATTTATTTTTTGTGCTTTTTAAGTTCTTGAAGAAAGCCGTTTTGACTGAGATAAGATGTACTATCATTTTGATTTACATTTCCCTAATAGCTAAAGGTGATGAACATTGTTTTTCATATACTAACTAGCTACTTGTACTTCTTTTAAGAATTGTCTGTTCAGTTCATTTACCCATTTTTTTATTAGGTCATTTGTTTTTGGAGTGTTGGTTTTTTTTTTTAATATTCTAATATTAGTCCTGAAACAGAGAAGTAGCTGTCAAAATTTTTCCTATTCTGTAGGTTGCTCTCTTTGCTGCATTGTTTCCTCTGCTGTGGAGAAGCTTTTTGATTTGATGTGATCCTATTTATTGATTCTCAATATTATTTCCTATGTTATTAGCGTTCTCTTCAGAAAGTTCTTGCCTTTGCCTGTGGCTTCCAGTGTTCCCCCTGTGTTATCTTCCAGCAGTTCCAAAGTTTATATTCAACCTAATCAAAGAGATTAAAGTCTTTATAACAAAAACTACAGAACTCTAAAGAAAGGGATTGAAGAGAATATTTGAAAATGTAAAGATATCCCCATTCCTCGATAGGCAGAATTAATATCATTGAAATGGCAATATTGCCAAAAGTGATCTATGGATTTAATGCAATTCCCGTTAAAATATTAACAACTGTCTTCACAGAACTAGAAAAAAGCAATCCTAAAATTTATAGAAAACCAGAAGTCACCCAGAATAACCAATGCAGTTTTAAGAAAAAAAAAGTGATGGCATCACAATTTTTGGATTTCAAGTTATATTACAAAGCTATAATAACAAAAATAGCATGGTGCTGGCACAAAATAGAAATGTAGACCAATGGAATACAAGACACAGAAACAACCCCGTGAGGTACCTGTGATCTGAGTTTCGACAAAGGGACCAAAAACATATGCTGGAGAAAAGATAGCCTTTGAAACTGTTGGTCAGACCCTTCTTTAAGCCAGTCTGTGTGACTCTAATCTGTGGCACATGGAGGGAAGGTGTCTCATAGACAGCAGCATTGATCTGGGAGTCAGGAAAGTTTTGTCACCCTCCAGCCTGACAAGTAGCTGACTAGCCATGCCAGGGTCACTGAGACTTTCCTGGTTTCATCCCTAAAACTTCCACATCCTGAAAGACCCCACAGCCCTAGGCAACCAGGACTGTTGGCCACCCTACCCATGAATTTAGGCTCAATTTTTCTCATTTATGAATAGTTATGTCATGGCATTATCAGTGCATGTACAGTGCTGTGTCCAGGGGCTGGTAGATAATAAACAGTAAATTATGGCTAGTGCTATTATTATTACTATTAGGAAGATTTCCTAATCTGCTCCAGGTATTTGATTTATACAACTTTTAAGGAAGAGATGTGCCTGTTTCTTTACATCATACTTTCCAAAATAATGACTTCATCTTATTTCTAATGTACAGTATTTCTCTTGAGTCGTAACACTTCATTAAATGTTGCAGGCTACTATCCTCTCCTCAGTGAATTAAAGATAAATCATACTTTCATAAGGGTAGCAGTGGTATTAGTGCAATGATGTCTACTAGGGTCATCAGTAGATGGAGTATCAAGGTGTCTTGGAAGTGTTTTGCTCAGGTAAACACCAGCCTGGGGATCTGGGCACTGAATTCTCCAGGCGCTGGCTCTGCCATGGTTTGCTGAATGACTTTTAGTCTTTTAGTTTCTCTGAACCTTAATTTTCTCATTGATAAAAAGAGGAAATTGACAGCATTAGTGGTCTCTAACTTTCCTCTTACCTGAGAAGCCCCTTTACTCCAAAAGTATCTTAGGAGAAAAGAGACTGTAAAAGGCCAGTAAGCCTGGCGCTTAAGGGAAGGGAAAGAAAAAAGTGCCTGAGCCAGCTCTCCCCATCTGCCCCAAACACTGAGGCACTTGGGGGAACCCTGGGGCTCGAGGGAACCTTCTGCCTTCATGTGTGCTAATTTTCAGTATTCCTGGAGTAATAATATAAGTAACTTACTTATCAGGTTTTAGATTTTTATTGCTATATACTGAAATTTTCTTTTTGAAAAAGGGGCAGTAATTTGTATATTTGAGGGTTTTTTTTCCGGTGGAATAGTACCTTTGAGGTGGTAATTTCTTTTTGTTTTAACTTAAGATTTTGTGGTTTCTTATTGAAATGTTGCACCGTGTGCTTGGTCTATTGCTTCCCGTCCCTGTCTCTCTGACCGAATCATGTCTAATTACTGGTCAACTGCTGTTCATTGTTCTTGATCAGTCCATATGCTGTGTGTCTATGTAAAGTCCCCTTTGTACACATCTGTAATATACATGTGTAAAAACAATTTGAGAGTATTTGCCATATTTTCATATTTTCATATTAGTGCTTAGAAACACTTTTACTCACTCAGAATTACAGTTCTCCGAACATAGGACTCACAGAAGTGAAAACATACAATGACTTTAGTTGGTACATGGATCTATTTTACTTTCACCTATACATGCATTAATAAAACATAACCATTGAGTTGATTTCATGTATAGAAATTGAATAAAGAAGAAAATAAAAACTATAAGCCAATCATAGCCTAGGTGGTGGTGTGCAGACCTGGCCAAAACTGTGAAGATGCTGCTGTCAGAACAAGTTAGAGAGACCAAATACGGGCAGTCTGTGTGGCTTTCACTTCAAAATGCATAAAACCAAGTCCAAAGAGTTCTGCTTTCTTTGATCTTACCAAAGCCAGCTTTGAAAGCATGTCATTGTTCTGCTTCATTTTCTGCTTATCTGGGTGTAATCATGATACCAGGAATGGACTATTAGTATTAGCCTGGGGGATGCTTAGTTTTCCTTCCAAGAATGGTCTCTGCCTTGACAGACACCCACTCTGGGGGTGCACCCTGCTGCAGAGCTGCAGGGCCTCCTGCGAGAGATGTAGAGTGAGTATGCTGTGCCTCCCCAAGCCAAGGGGTGCAGCTGTTAGAACAGTTCTGGGTGCACAGTATCCTGTCTCATCTCCCCGCGTGACCTTTATCAGTCACATAGCCTTCTGTGTCTCACCTGTAACATGGCATTAATAAAATCCCCTAGCTGAGACGGTGAGCAATATGTGACCTCATGTACCTTCAAGCAGTGCTGCCACATACTAAATGCTGGATAAGTGTGTGCTACTAAAATAAAATAAAAATATAAAGGTTTAGACTTTATCCTTGATTTCTCCCCTCAGTAACTTTTGATGTACAATTAGGTTCTTATGAAGTTTAAGGTTTGGTTTGGTTTTTACATTTTGGTTTTAGTTCAGCATTCTGAACTAAAGAATTGAAGTGCATAAAAGAAAGCCCACAGAGAATAAACCTATATATTGTCATTACTGGAATAGAGCTGCAGCTGTTTCACACCTGTTGCTAAAATCTTCTTAGGGACGCTCTTTTGAGACCCTAATAAATCTGTGCACATGCAGTTTTGGATCCTGTGTGAGAATAGCTATACTCATACTGTATGCAGTTTTGAAGG